AGCCCTCTGATCATCCTTGTCACCCTCCTCTGAACTTGTTCCAATTTGTTAGCATCCTTCTTGAAGTGTGGTGTCCAGAACGGGACACAATACTCAAGGTGAGGCCTAACCAGAGCTGAATAGAGGGGGACTAGTACTTCGCAGGATTTGGAAACTATACTTCTATTAATGCAGCCTAAAATAGCATTTGCCTTTTTTGTAGCCACATCATACTGTCTTACGTCAATTCTGTGATCCTTCTCACTCGTAGTTTTGCTGAGCCAGGTATCCGCCATCTTGTAACTTTGCAATTGGTTTCTTTTTTTGAGGTGCAGTACTTTGCGCTTACCCCTGTTGAATTTCATTCTGTTGCTTTCAGCCCAGTGCTCCATTCTATCATAGTCATTTTGAATTTTGTTTCTGTCTTCTAGGGTATTAGCTATTCCGCCCAATTTGGTATCATCTGCAAATGGGCTGATGTGTCGACTCCACACACCAACTTTAAAGGCCAATGTGTGGATTCTAACAGCAGCACTTCTAAATTGTAAGCAAGTAGATAAGCCTGAGCATTACTGAATGGCATGCCCTAAAGCACTGAAAATGAACTCCCAAATCAAGAGTCATCATGTTGGCACCATCCCATTCTCTGAGAGTTCAGGTCCAGATCCCGATATCTGAAGAATGGACCCCCTCCTCCAAATCTCTCAGAGCCAAAACCTGAGGCTGAAGCAACCTTGATATAGCATATTTAGTAGTATGCTTGCAGTCAGGCTGGGCACCAAATTTACAGAAGTAGGTGGACTCTAGAGCTGTTTTTTACCTTGCTGATCCCAGTCCTCTCCGATGGCAAGTTTGGGAGACTTGTAGCCCTCCAGGTGTTGTTGCTGGATTACAACTGTCAACATCTGTGAACTTGGCCATGCTGGTTCAGGGCTGGTAGAGCCCAATGAGAAGGCTCAACTCCTCCTCTCCTTGAAACTTTCCTGAGGGAATCCAGGGGTTTCATCTTGGATCTTTCTCTACTCAAAGTACCTACAAGTCCGTTGAACAATACCAGATGCTGGACAACATCCTTGGCAAATTTGGTCATGGTGTGCAGTCATAAATGTTGTTTTTCAAGTAAGGATACTATTTTTGGCTAAGAGGTTGATAGGTCCAATTTGTGTAACTGAAAAATTGGTGGTTTCCTGTCTGCACTGAATAGTGAGTGTGCTACAGACTTTGTCCCAGGTGTTTCAAATATTGGTTCCAAAACACAGAGATAAGTTTATATTAAAAAGTTGAGGTGTGGTCATGCTCTGCATCATAGTTTCATTCTGAAGCCCCTTTACAGGCATGTATTCATTTATTTTCTTAATTTATATCTCACCTTTCTCCCAAGAGTGACCCAAGGCGGTTTATTGAGAATTCTAAAACACAAGTAACTGAAAAATTTAGAAGACAATAAATTACAAGGCTAAAAAACAGTTATATGTACCAATAAGTAAAAGTATTAAATGAAGCCCATTTTAAAATGTTTTAACTCATATTTAAAAAGATAAACAAGACAATGCTCACATTAAAACTCCTTCCTGACATCAATTTACATATTAAAAGGCTGGACATATCCATTCTCAGCTCAGAACAGCTACTGGATTCTTATAGTTCCTGTTTCTGTAGTTCACAGCTGTAGCATGCATATGACAGGATAACCCTATGAGGCAAATCTTAATGCTGTCATGGTGTGTCTACATAATAATGAAATACTGTATAACAATCCAAATGGAACAGCAGTGGTGAGAGGACATGAGTACTGTTGCTGACGATATAAAGCAAGGGTGGGCAAAATGTATTCCATGGACCGCATAGGGCCCATGGGCACTCAAATGTGACCCTAGCACCCCATTTCTTAATTCAAAAAACTCTGAAGGTCTCCTTGTGGCCTCTAAGGCATGTTGGAGGAAATTTTGGGTGACCCTGGTTCCATGTTGCCTGAAACTTATAAATCTAAAAAAAGGTTTGATCATTATAGGGTGCAATAAGGTTTTTCCAGTCTTCAAAATAGACATATGGGGGGCATGCGGAGGGTCAGTGGTACACAAGGCCCTTCAAGGTACAGAGGTGGGCATACTTAGTTTTCAGACCCCTGGAAGTTTATCCTCCTGGTTGAAGAGCCTTGTGTTCCTCATTGAGTGCATTTATTTCAATGTAGAGAAGTAATGAAGAGCTGTGTGTGTTTTAAATTCATTTCTGAGATCTGCAGGGTTTAGTCTTACACCCTTCCTCAGATACCATTTCATTCAGACTATCTGTTTTTATAGTGGCGCAGCCATTAGATAATCAGGAGCTGTGCACCGTACTGGTAATATAATAAAGTAACCTAAATTAGGCTTAGTGAATATTTCAATAATACCTTTTGGAACACCACAAAATCCAGTCTGACAAGCACGGGTAATTTCCATAACTTCTTTGATGTCCGTCTGAAGCACAATCATATGTTTAGCAATGGACACATCGATGTCGCTTTCTATGACATTTGAATCAAGTTTCCATTCACATCGGACTGTGATTTTCTTTTTTCTTTTCTTTCTTTCCTTTGTTTATACATGTGTAAATCTTCACATGGGAAGTCACATGCATTTTTGTGCGCAATTTTGTATGAAAATTTGAGTGTTTTAAATACACAATTTCCACTAACATACACCTTTCTGAGCAATCTTCCCTAATACATCTAACTTTATAAATCCCCCCAAGAGTAAATATTTTGTGTGCATCCTTCAATTAGAGAAATGTGTAAGGAGTTTTCTATGCTTTTCCCTCAGCGTACACTTTTGGTCAGAAAGTGAGGAGGAATTAAAGAACCGTGTAATGAGGGTGAAAGAGGAAAGCACAAAAAATGGTCTGAATCTCAACATCAAAAAAACAAAGATCACGGCCACTGGTCTGATCACCTCCTGGCAAACAGAAGAGGAAGATATGGAGGCGGTGACAGATTTTACTTTCCTAGGCTCCATGATCACTGCAGATGGAGACAGCAGCCACAAAATTAAAAGGCGCCTGCTTCTTGGGAGGAAAGCCATGACAAACCTAGACAGTATCTTAAAAAGCAGAGACATCACCTTAACGACAAAGGGCCGCATAGTGAAAGCTATGGTTTTTCCAGTAGCAATGTATGGAAGTGAGAGCTGGACCACAAAAAAGGCCAACCGCTGAAGAATTGATGCTTTTGAATTGTGGTGCTTGATAAGACTCTTGAGAGTCCTCTGGACTGCAAAGAGAACAAACCTATCCATTTTGAAGGAAATCAACCCTGAGTGCTCACTGGAAGGACAGACCCTGAAGCGGAGGCTCCAATACTTTGGACATCTCATGAGAAGAGAAGACTCCTTGGAAAAAAACCCTGATGTTGGGAAAATGTGAAGGCAAGAGGAGAAGTAGACGACAGAGGATGAGATGGTTCGACAGTGTTATCAAAGTTACCAGCATGAATTTGACCCAACTCCAGGAGGCCATGGAAGAGAGGAGGGCCTGGTGTGCTCTGGTCCATGGGGTCACGAAGAGTTGGACATGACTTAATGGCTAGACAACAACACTTTTTGATAAGCAGCTTTGCCAAATATAATCAGGGTGCAATGATACGGCAAGACAGATGTGTGCCTGACTGCATCAGAAAGGGTTGCTTTGCAGGGAGCAATCTCCCTTGAAGCCACCTTTCTGTTTGTCAGGAAATCGCTCCAGCCTGTCCCCAAAAAGAAGTAGCGCTACAACTGGACTGGAAAGATCCTGCTTGGACACAGGTCAGAGTCACGCTGGAGCACTATTGTACGTACATCGTGTGATCACTGGGAAACAGATTGCAGTGGGCTGTTCCCCAAGTGGTCTAAAATGATATCTATTTCCCCACAAGATCACACCGTCCATTTGATATGCTAAAACGTTTTGTTTAAATGTAAGCATTTTGTGTATATTTTTAAATCAGCAACATTAATTACAAAATTCAAACAAGTATGAAAAGAGGGCAGAACTAAGTCAATGTGTGTTTATTCAATAAGTACAGATGAAATCCATTCATATTAAAATATTAACCAAAAATGTTATCCTCCACCTCTAGCAGCAATATGAATGGATGGATAAATTTGTCTTTTAATTGTCTCTTTCCTCATTTTTACTTGTAATTCTATTTCATTCCATTTACATATCATCCTACAATTTAAAATAAGCTATTAAAAATGTATCCAACAGCCTATTTAGAGCCATA